CTTACCTGCTTTGACGTCTATGTATTTACTTAATTATGTATGTATATAAGCTGTACCACGTTATGATGAATATTTGTTTAGATTTATTAAGACTCAGAATCATGTATCCAAGTCTGATGTATGCATTATGTGTTTTGTAGTAATTTGTTGACCCTTGAACCTCTCCCCTGCATGATGACCACAATGAAAAGCGGCCTGTTGGCCGAATTGTGTATTTTCATCAATAAATAAAGGCGCAAACAAACAAACAAACAAACAAGGTTCTCTGCTGAGTATTACAATTACCAAGCATATCACATGTGAGCTAAAGCATTTAAAACATCAAACTTTGTCTCCTATCATAAAATGATTTTAAAAAACGGCAGTTTAAGGTTAAACCACTGACAATTTTGGGGGGATTTTGTTCTTTCACAGTTTTGCCTTGCCGACGGCAATAGCCTTGTAGACGTCCGAATCTAGCGGAACGTACGTCTTCTTAGAGTCGTCACGAATGTACAGAGAATCCGTGACAGCGTTTGGATCAAATCCATCCTTTACCAGTTGTGTCTTGGTCTGTTTGAGCGTGCTGGTGTGGTACAAGTCTTGGGTAAGACGGAGGAACAGCGGTCGGGCGTAGCCTGGCAGGCGGGAGGACAGGTGGGCGTACCAGTCCCGCATGTTCGGCCGGTGTCCCGGATGTACAACAATGGCGGCCATCCCAGCTCGACCGTCATGACCTTGAAAAATCAAACACGCTCGTCAACTGCTAGACAGAAGCCCCGTTAATTTTCTACATCATAAAAAGATTGTGGAATTGATTACATTAAAACCTATCATAGGTAAATTTGTCAAATTTGAAAACAAAAATCAATACAAATCTAAAGTCATCTTCACATTTACATTATTCTTTAGATAGTTTTCTGTGACTATATATGTGAGCCTACCTGGCACAGTAACCCCATACACATTAGCTTCCTGCACACCGTCTATATCGTGTAAGACCTCCGCCACCTCAGTTGTTGCCACGTTTTCCCCTTTCCATCTGCCAGTAAAAATATGTCAGGAGTAACAGGTATGACAGAAACATTTTCAGTTTGGGCCAATACCCCAGGCATTTTTAAAATGACAGGACAGAAATGTAGTTATTACCCTCTTCTTTAAACAAATTCTCAGTCCTGCTATGAGATATTGAATGAAGAACCTGTATGTGTCCCCCAGCCTGTCTATGAAGTACACGTAGTAGTCCTTGTCCACCATCAACAGGTCTCCCGTGTTGAAGAAGATGTCTCCTTCCTTAAAAACGTTGCGAAGGATCTTCTTCTCTGTCATTCTTTTGTCTCCTTGGTACCCAACAAAGGGTGTGGCATCTGTTACGGGACCAAGAAGAAGACCCGGCTCTCCTAAAAAGAGGGAAAACGGGACCTTACAAAGCGGAAATTTCACAATCCTATTTTCATACGACAACAGATCACTCTTTCACACAAAAATATATTTACCAGGCTTCACAGGAATACATCTGCCGTTCTGGTCTCTGATAGGTTCACTCGTTTCAGGGTCTACTTTTACAAAGTAGGCCGCTTGTAATCTCTGTACAGGAAACAAAAAAAAGAACTTGTAGATTGGGCTTGGAATACTTCTAGCCAAAGTTCTATATAGTTTTTCGTTCAGTGTAGTATAGTGGGATTGGTCTGGTGAGATTGTTTATATGCAACTTGCCTTCGTCACCGTGTTATTTCCCGTACCTAATGAGAGGTAGGGGAAACACAGCTACATTTCCTGTGCCCCCCAAAAAATCTAGTCTGATTTTAGAACTTCTGCTCACCTTTAACAAGGGAGTCAGCATGCCGACCGCACCTTGTTTATTGGTGACGTTGAAGAACGCCACGTTCCCCTCCGTTGCTCCGTAGAACTCTACAATTTGCCCCACCCCAAATCTCTCCTGAAACTTCCCCCAGATGTCCGGTCGGAGACCGTTCCCGTAGGACACTCGGACGCTGTGATTCTTGTCAAACGGAGTCTAAAAACAGATTATTGTCAGATGTGAGTTAATTAATATTTGAATGTAAACTATATACACAGACACTCACAGTGAAGATATTCCAA